ATCATTGATTTTCTTCCTCAAACAACTCTGTCCTGTTCGTTCCTCCCAAAGAAATGCTCGTATCTCAAAAAAAAGCTATGCAACTGAAATGAAACACTTTCAAATGCACAAATCAATAGGTAATCAACAAATGACAATAATCTAAAGGTAAGGCAACCTGTTATACCCTATTGTATTATGTCATTAAAAACGATCCATTGCAATATAGTCAGATGTAACCAAATATATATTCATTCAATTGATACATCAATAAAAATTTCGGATGGACATATGTATATCAGGATAGCATAACGCCAAAAGCAACTCTTCAACAATTTATTACATCCCTTTTATATTCCACTCTAAAAACTAAATTTACCGCAGTAAAAATCAGAATTTCTTCACTTCCATAAACCCTTGCTAGTATAACGAGATTCTCTATGTCAAAGTGTGAAATATCAGCTGAGTTGAATAAGTTCTTTGTGCAGAAACATGGTGATGATAATAATGAAGTTAATGATAACAATGTAATGATTAAAAAATAAGATCAATTTTCATCATGAACGAAACGAATATGCAATTATGATCAGAGTCAGCAACAGCCACGGCAATAACAAGTATCTACCCATACAACACCGTCATTCAAATCATGTTGCTATAACAATAATTATATCAGACTGCATTATCCACTTTTGAATAACAGAATGGCCACTTGTCCCAGATAGAAATATATGAAATGTTTCGTCTCATGCGTCACGTACGATCCGAAGTTCCTTCCAACGATACAATGCCATGTTGGATTGTACTTCTTGTCGAATTCCTTCTTTATGTACGCTGCGATATCCTTCTCGATGTTATACCTTCAATTCAATTATTAAAGTCAGCGAAAGTCAATGAATCGGACAAATGTGCCGTCGTCTTTCAACGACAGTGATCAAAGATGCAGNTCTTTATGTACGCTGCGATATCCTTCTCGATGTTATACCTTCAATTCAATTATTAAAGTCACCGAAAGTCAATGAATCGGACAAAGGTGCCGTCGTCTTTCAACGACAGTGATCAAAGATGCAAGAGTGTGTGCGTATAGAATCGAAGAACGACGATATAACTGTTCATGAGAAACGTGAACGAGAATGAAAATAAGAGGAATATTTTTGGCAGAGAAAAGAGATGAAAGCGATTGGAAAATTCCAAAAAAAAGATGGAAATTTATGCAGAGAGTGTCTATTCCATTGAGTTCCAGAGAAACGCTAGCAAGTTTACAGCAATAATCCATATTTATGCATGACTTCAATCGAGAACTACTGACGAAATAAATCGTTTGCACCAAAACGCAATCCATATTCTCCTATTACAGTACTTCTGTCATAATGACAAATCAAGCGATTAATCACATCTGTCAGCAAGCTAATATCTGTCTACCGCTCCACCAAACAATTAACTCTTTCATATTAATTGGCGCCTCTGTTGTTCTTACCAAATTAATCGTTGAAATCAAGCAAGATGGTATCTACTGAATGTTCATAGCAATATCTATTCCCAAAATTCACCACATTTCAACGGAAAAGTTCAATCGAAGTCCAAAGCAATTCAAAAAGTTTTCGTTGAGTTGACATAAAAATCTCGCGAAGCATCACACAAACACCATTTGACTTAAATCAAG